TTGAAGGGAGCAGGGGTATGGGGAAAAAATGAGAACCAAGATCTGTCATGTAAGGGAATAGATCCCAATGATGAATGTAACTGTACTGTATACTTAAAAATACCAATAAACTCAGTAAGATTAAAAAAATAATTAAATAAAATAAATACTCATACCTGGACACTCACACATCTATATATATGAATACACACACATATCTTATTATTCTCTTACTATGTTAATGCACTAAATATATATATATATTGATTGGCCTAAAACCGCCAATCAAGTTATAACCGATTCTCAAGGGGGAGAGTCTCTTTCTTGCCATATAATAAAAGGGGCTAAGAACAAAGACCTTCAATCAAGCACCAGTTCCCTATCTCATTTCTCTCTTCAATAAAGTGATTTTGTTTCTCCTTCTAAAGTTATATCTCTAATTCTTTATTCGTATAACATTTACAAACTCCAAATAGATAAAATCTACCTTCACTCCAGACGCTACAGTTTAAGGTAGGTATAAAATGGTCATTTATGCCTGTAATGCCAGCACTGTAGGCGAATGAGTCAGGAGAATTACAAGTTAGAGCCCTGCCTAGGCAAATTAGCTATCTCAAAAAAGAAAGACAAAGAAAGAGGAGGCCAGAGGAAGAGAAGAAATGGCTAGGGGTGTCACTCAATGTGAAAGCCTTGAGTTCCACCCCCAGTACCACATTTAAAAAAAGAAAGTCATTTGAGAGTAAAAGTAAATGCAAAAATGTAAAATAAAAACCCTAACACCTAACAATTTATTTCTTTCCAATTTTAGTGTTATGTGCTGCCAAAGCAAGCATTAATTCATTTTATTTCTAATTAAAATGTTTCTCTACAAGTTATATAGTCAGGCCTAGGAGGTGAAGAGAGACAGTTCTACCCTCACCAATGGGTGACCTGCACTCTACTTTTCTTTACCCAGTAAAGATGTGCAACCTTGGACAAGTCACATCACTTTTAGGTGCGGATAACTAAAGGCAGAGAACTGGGTCTTCTTTTGAGAACCCATCTGGATGTTTGACGATGATAAAAAAGGGGATTTAAGAGGAAAAAGGATGTTGGGCTTGTTTACTGACTGTCCATACTGTATCAACGCACAATGGTGAAAGATTTGCTCAGGAGTTGAGAAGGGCTACAGCTAAATACAGACTTTAACAGGCCAGACTTCAATGGTGAAATTATCTATAAAAGAATAGATCACTAGTTTCCAGCACAGAATTACTCACAAGGTCTTCTGATCTCCAAATTTCTGCAATGTGTATGTCAAGGCAGTGGTTCTCCAAGAGATGAATCCAGACCAGCATATGCACCATCTAAGACCTTGTTAAAAATTAAATTCTCAGGGCCCAGGGCAAACTTACCAGAAACTCTGGGGGACAGGCCCCAATAATCTGTGTTTAACAAGCCCTGTAGGTGCTTTAAGTTAAGATGGTAAGCTTGAGAACCACTACCTACTGCAAAGTAAATTTGAGGTTTAAGCAGAAAGGAATCACCTTTTCTGCACTGGCCAAATTAAAGGAGAAGTTTACTGATGATGGGACAGGAAGCAAAAGCAGGAAAGTGTAGACACTATTTCACATCTATATCAAATTAACTGGAGAAAAATGTTGTAAACCTGTAACTTACCTCATCTATAAATGTAATGTCCAAAAGTCCCTCTTTGCAGTAAACCTTTTTGTGCTACTGCAATATAGTTTAAGGGGTACAGCTGGAGGAAAAGGGGAAGGATTATGAACCCAGGTTTCTAGTCCTAGGAGGAAAAATTCCAATCCTCCCTCCAACCCTGCCCACCTTCTCATGCCACACAATAACAGCAGAAAGTTACCCATGACAAATGGCCACAAACACTAACTACTCTGCTGTCACCCAATTCTCATCAACAAGCCTGCCATGACTATACCACCACCTTTCTGAAGGCGCTTTCTGGATCAAGGCCCTTAGGGCAGCTTGGAAGAGAAGCTGGGAGGAGGAAGGGGGTTGAAAGACTCCACCACATTCCTCATGACTTCTGAATATAGCTGCCCTGGGTGTAATCTGCAGAGTATAGACAGAGAAAAAGCAACAGTTCTAAGCTTAGTCTCTCAGCAAGAGCCAGAATATGGCACTGACCCAGCAGAAACAAAGTCATTCAAGAAGAGCGGGGCCTAAGAGCTTCCTGTAGGGGAGGCCAGCATGCAGACCAAGGAAGACAGGTCATTAAAGTGCCTGAGATAAAGAGCATCCACTGCTCAGGAGGAAAAGATATACTATGCCACGGATATTCTATATCTTTTCATGGCATAGAAATTAACAAACTTTTAAGTTATGCAGACAAGGAGCAGGTGGTCTAATCCTGCTGAGGAAAGGGTGGTGTTGAGAAGAGGTGCCTAAACTGTTAGGGGAGACAGCAGCTACTAGCTTAAGGGGAAGGAAGCTCAGAAGCTGTCAGAGCGACAGCTGAAAAGCCACAGAACAGAAGGGCTCCAAAGCCTAGCATGATCACAGGTGATATGACCACAGGTGTTCAGATCACGGATGAGGGTGTCTGCATGTGCTGGAGGAGAGGCCGCTGATGGAAGGAGGTGGGGCTCTCCGGGCCAGGATGCCTGCAGGAGGATCCCTGAGCAATCTGAGAAGAGGGGAATGAAAAGGCTGTGGAAAATCAAGGGGCCTAGACCACTTTTCCCTCTCAATAGGAGGGAGGGCTGCCTTTCTGCAGGCCCCATAAGGAGGTCGGAGGGCGGCGGCTGGCCGCGCCTCCAGAAGTTCTGTCTCTGGCCGCCAGGAGACGCGGAGGGCACTGAGCCGCAGCCCAGTCAACACGCCGCCGCCACTCCTGGCTCCGGACGG